ATCGGCAAACATAAACATCACAAGCATGCCATGCCATGCCATGCCATGGTTGACTAGCATGGAGCTGTAAGATCATTTCACTCGAGCACCTCTTTAACTATTTTATATAAAAAAAATCTACATCTACAACTCCCCTGTTTTGGATAATGCAATCTTGACCAACCACCTATTCGTAATTTCACTGGATAAATTGCCAAAATGCCCTGGCATATTTAGATCCCCAACTTAGGGAAAGAAATTTTGATGAGAAAATCACATATCCTTTGTTTATCATTTATCTCAGGCCACTAGATTATAGTTAGTGAGATGGGGGGAGTTTTTCATTTAGGCCACTTAAGTCGAGCCAAATAACGTAAATACATGTTTACTTCCAAATCCGGGCCGAAAAATCTAAGACTTTCCCACTCTAATTTGTGTCAAGCTTAATAGTCAAATTTTAAAAAAGAGAAAGTAGAGAAGTGAGGTCCACCAAATTATGATTAGTGGATAATCTCTCATTTTCCACATACCATTGGTCGCGCTGGCTAGGATTCACCAAAGCCTTACTAAACGAGAAATGGAGAAATTTAATTTTAAACAATAAGATGTTGGGAATATAAAAAATAAATCAATTAAGATTTGAGAAAAAGAACACGGTCGGGATCAAAGAGACAAAACCCAGATTTAGGGCTTGGATCAGAGTGATAGAGGGCAAGCCAGTCTCCTCCTTGGTACTTTGAGATTACTTGACTCGGAATTAGTTGCAGACCACCTGGTTACAAGTGCCTAGAGGACCGAAATAGATTTTTATTTATTTATTTATAATTTTTAATATTTTGTCCATTGCATTGTATTGGGTGATTCTTGGACCATTTAAACGCTTATGAAATCATCTACAAACTAGAACAAATTTTGGCAATTTCAATGATGTTTTGGTGGGTTATGGTATTTGGACTCTTAAAAGTTGGTTTCTAGGTATCTTGATGTCATTCTAAAATACATGTATTCTTGTATTAGGACAAAATAAGTTCAAGATGACTAAGGGCAGTGTATTTTATAGGTTTAAGGTCAAGGTTTTGTTAGGGAAAGGCAACTATGGCTTGGATTATGAAGCTTTACGGACCTAGGAATTGCCTCAACTGCATAGGGTGTCTACATTACCCTCACTTCTTTCAGGTTCTCATAGAATCCTTAAAAGAATGACTTGTTTTTTATGTGAAACCACCAACTTGGGAGTAGAGGTATCGATGTTATCTAGCTAAGGCCACTTAATTGATGAAAACAACAAAGTCACTCTTACTTATTCAGGATTCATTAGCTAGAGCATTGGTGTTTTATGCAATTTTAATAAAGGATAAAGTTTACATAAGGTTGGAACTTTACTTGTTAACGTATGGTTGCATTATATTTTATGCTCCAGTCTACTTTTGATAGCGAATATTGAATTTTAATTTATTTTATGCACACTTTAAGCGTGAATCCGAGGCTTCCATATTGCTCACCATCATTTGCATATGTAAAAAATAAAAAATATTTGAAAGAAATAAAATGACCTAAATACAATTCATAAGTAATTTGAAAGAAATAAAATAACCAAAATACTCTACTTTATGTTTTTACAAGTTTGTGATAACGAGAAGTACAGACATCTAAAATTTGAGCTTAATCCCATGCATAAAAAATAAAATAAAATACAATACACACTCTCAGAAAATGAGGCTTAAAAGTAAAATATAGAGAGAAGTTTTTCATGAGTCAGTGGGCACAAGAGCCAGTTGACCTACTGAAGTCCATCTTTAAGATGGATGTTGTGAGAAACCGACGGGCCTAAAATAACTGTGGATGTTGTAGAAATATCCATAAAAAAATCAAATTTTAAATGTTGAAAATTTTATTTTATTTTTTCATATTCATGATCATCTAATATTAGATCATGAATCCCTAAAATTTTGGATTAAAAATCCATCTTGGAGATAGATTTGAGAGGGGGCCTACATATGTACAATATGAATTGGCTGACTCATAAGAACCCCATCCAAACATAAAATATAGAGAGATAAATTTTTCCTTGCTTTTACAATTTTATATTTCCAAATTTGGCAAAAGGACATGGGAACTCAGCCATTCTCACTCTGGCCAAACACAATTCGAAGTTCTATTTCTGAATTTTCAATTGAATTTTTCTTGAGTTAGGCCCAAACTCATTTATACCAACCAACATTCCAAAGGTTTTATTGCATAAAATATTTATATTTATTTCTAGTATGGTGATTGATGTTGATTACCACTGGTCAATTTTTGGTAGGTAAACCCTAACAAAAAATAAAAATATAGTGAAGTAAGTGCTGACTAGTCACCACGTTGTGGTTTTTATTTTAACTGATACCACCCCACTAACATCTTTAAAAAAAAACTAACTTCTAAATCAATCAAAAAAATGAGCAGGGTCATGTCTTCTCCACTGAATTATCAAAAGAAAAAAAAAAGTTGAAGTGCAGACTTTTCATTGGATGTATGCCATTGAAATGGTATCCACGTTTCAAATTCTCTCAAACAATGAGAGAGAGATTAATTTATTTAGTCAAGGCGATTATTTTATATAGAGATAGAACTCTAAATATATGGAGAGAGATGGGTTATTTGAGAGAGAGAGTGTGTGTGTTTTATGTAGTGGAAGATAGTGGTAAACCGTTATTGGTGAAGATAACTCCATTCCTACTTTTGGTGAGGAGTGGGTGACCTCATTACCGCCTATCATATGTATAATTTAGCAAGAATCACATAAGTCTCTAAACATAATATATAGAACCAATCACATAAGTTTCCAAATAAGGGAAAGAAATAACTTATAACTAAAAAATGGAAACGTATACAATAAACTATTTATCTTTAGTATAATGTGTTCATAATTAATCTTGATCATTAGACGCGAAATTAGATGTCTGCATTTATGCCATCAATCAAACTCAAATTTCAAAGGAAATTTTTTAGAAGTTTATGACGCACCCAAACTATTATATTTCACATCGGATGGTTTACGTAATTGTGACCACCTTGTATTAAAAGTAAATGATCTCATTGTATACAATCCCTTAACAAAATTATAAAGAACGTTATAATTTAGACTTAGGTTATTTGCCATCCCTCTAAGTAGATTATTGTTTATTGGTTGGATTATTCAAACCTTAACTTTTTTTTTCTACTAATACCGACAAAGATACCCCTTATTCTCTCTTGTAATATAGTGAAAATGTCACTATATACCCTAATTTTCTACATTATTTATATGAAGAAAAAAAAGTGTATTTATTAATATGACTATTGGTAGTTTTAAGAAAAGATATGATATGGTCCACATGGTTGTGATAACATCAAGACAATGTATGATGGGAAGTGATATGCACCTGGTCATGATCATATTATGACCATATAGAGCATATTATGGTACTCCGTAGTTTTAAACCTAAAAAAATGTATCCATAAAATTATTGAAAAATTTCAAATTAATAAATGTTAAACAAGGGAAATATATTTCCCTTGTTTTGGAGTAGATTCTCCCCTCTCTTCTTTGTCTTTTTGTTTTTTTGGTTTTAGTGCCTTGTTTGGATTTCTGTTTTAAATAGAAACTTAAATATTTAAATGTCTCTCAAGATCTGTGGTCGAGACTTCAGACCATCTCATATTTTCCTTTATTCTCATTCACAATATAATTTCTTCTACATACTATATTTGGTGGTACTTGCCCTCAAGTAATAACTACTTTGGAAGCGTAAATTAATTATTTGATTAAGATAAACATGCCCCTTTAATAAAAAATATTTCCATAAGCTGAAAGAAATAAATAATGTCCTCCCTACTCAATGTGCCGTACAAAACATGGGTTGAATTGGGAAATCAGTAACAAGGGACCGTATGCAACGAGATTAAAAGTCACGACACTTCAAGCCATTAGATGTAAAATTTGGACGGACAGGTTGTGTTATTTCTTTCTATAAAATTTAAGAAAAAAAACCTTTTTAGATGTCGGATGTTGTTAATAGTATGCACCTAACCGTCAAATTTTACATTTAAAGGTTAGGAGTGATTATGACATTTTTGTACCAAATCAAGAGAGTGTTTTCCCCAGTCAATAAATACTCCTACATTTTCTATTTTTTTTTTTTCTTTTTGAAAATTAATTTGCAAAGGTAACAAGAGAATAAATTTTCTAATAATTGTCGAACAAACTTTGATGATATTGATAATAAAAGAATTGAGATCTAAATTTTTGTGTCCTGTGATAGGGAAACAATTAATTATCATCTTTGAATAATCTTTAAAATTCGAAATGCTTCCTTGTTTTCCTGAAGCCAAAAGATCATATACGGTGCTGGAGCATATGGTATATGACTATCTTCAAATGTTCGGGTAAAAAACCCTATCTAGAAGTAATTTTGGAACTTTAAACTTTGGAGATATAACATCCGCACCCTAATGATGGCCCCTGAAAAAGAAAAAGAAAAAAAAAGAAAAAAAAAAGGAATATGACATCTGACTGCCAAGGTTATGTCTACTCATATATAACAATTTACTTTTGGTACAAAGATGTCACAATTAATTATAAGCATCCGATTCTGATGTGAAATCTGATAGCTTGTGTCTAAGTTACTCCTTTTTTTTTTTCCCTCTTATAGTTCAAAGAAAGAATAGTGTTGTGGCCTTGTCATCCTAAACACAAACCCAAATGTGAACTCATTTCCATGCAAAACAATTGAATGATTGGTCGGTGGCAATCTTTTTCATTCACATATTAATCTATACCTCATTACAAATACAATACTCTGCCTTCCTTTGAATAGAAAAGCACTCAACAAAGCTCAAACTGATCTAAGGCAGTCGGCACAAAAGCTCAAACCTCCACTAAGGGAAAGTTGCAATTAAATATTCAAAGGGAATGCTACATTTCTCTCTATCCCTTTCATCTGAAGCCCATATAAAAGGCCCCTCACATTCAACAATTTTACTCATAAGTTGCCCTTTTTGCTATCAAATCCTGTTCTCTTACAGATAACAAGATGTCTAGGATCCACCCTGGTAAAGATAAGTATTCCACAGAGGAACAGAGAGCAACAGGCCCTCCTACTGTGTCAACAGTTTGGAAGAAGTCGAGCATGGGATTCCAAGGAACAGATGGGTTTACTGTGTTTGACAGCAATGGAAATATCGCATTCAGAGTCGACAACTACACAAGGAATAGTCGATGCCTGACAAATGGGCCGGTGCACAAGGATGGCACTGGGGCTGCCTTATTCACGTTGTGTCCAAAGGTAGCCGAAAAGAATGGTGTGAGGCATTCATGCATATAAATTATGGAGCATGATATTGAACTTCAATAAATAGAATGGTGTGAGGCATTCATGCATATAAATTATGGAGCATGATATTGAACTTCAATAAATAGAATGGCTTGTTCTCCCTTCTCCAATTAACGAAAAAAAGACAAAAAAAGAAAAACTGTTTGTACTCATTTTCTTTCTCTTTTACCCCAACAAAAAGTTAGTCTGATTTGTAATGTGTTGGAAAATTAGTTCACTAATACCTATCCAATGTTCTAATGTCTGTACACATGTTTCATTAGCAAGTAAGATCAAAGAATACAAGTAGAGAGCAAAAATATTCATTTCGAAGAAGGTTCTAGAGTTTTAATCCAGTGTGTTTGTTTATAAAACAGATTTTTAGCATTCATGAGCAGTGGGAAGGATTCAGAGGTGAGGCCTGCCGGAAAAGGAGGCAGAGGAGACCATTTTTCTCAATAAGGAGATGCTCTGTGTTCCAACGAGAAGACAAGCGGATGTTTGCATGGGTTCTCCAGAGGTGAAATTTCATATTGAAGGGTGTTTTTGGAAGAGAAGCTGCCCTTTAAAAACAGTCACTGGTGAATTGGTAGCTGCGATAAACAGGAATAGAGCAAGCTCTGATGTGTTCTTAATGGATCATGTATTTTCCATGGCGATCAAGCCTGGTCATGACCATGCTTTCATCATGGCATTCGTGGTGGTCTTGGATCGTATAAGTCAGAAGCCCTATACCCCAGCCTTGTCGTGTTAATTGCCGGAAAAGTTTTTCCGGTCATTGTAATTACAGCTCTTGACTCAATTGAATTAGAGGTAGATGTGATATAAATACATGATTGGTGAAAAACTGAAAACATTTTGTATTTTTAAAGCTTGATGAAAAGAGAAACACACTAGAAAATTAACCCCAACTTGATTTTGACAAAAGGAAAAAAGAAGAAGAAGTATTGTAGCAAAATGCCCTAAAAAGAAAACCTGAAGCTTGGGGAAAGATACTCTTTCCTTTAGAGCCAACAAGTATGACACACGACACAATAAATTAAGAAGCTAAAGCTTCTGAGATGAGCACTCCAACTTTCTTTACAAGGCCTCTCTCATGAGCAAGACTAACAAATCCTTCCAAACGCTTCATCTCCTTGATTGCAAGTATCAAATGGGCACTATCAACCTACAAAAACATTAAAGAAAATTGTTTCATGTGGGCTGGATCGCATTTCTACAATATGCGGTCCAGAGGTATAAAACATCCATCATAAAGATGGATGCAAATAGGTGGTCCATCTAAAAAAAATTGTAATTAACGGTCCAAAGGTTTTCTTAATATAATTATTATTTCTAGTTTTCAATTTCTTTTTATTTTATTTTTTTCATATTGATGATCTTCATGATAAAGATTATATATTCTTTAAAACTCAAGATAGAACTATATTAAAAAATGTATTTATTGCCAAGCCTGCATTTCTACAATATGTGTAGAAACCGTCCTCGTACATTAATGCCCTGCACCACTTAAGTGGCTTGAGCCAAATGCCACAAAAGTCTATGCTTGTTCTGAATCCGAAAGTCAAATATATTTTTAATGGATTATGAACCTAATTATTAGGTACTTTGCTTGTTCAGAATTCCAAACTCCCGGTACGAGCTTGAGGAGGTACTAGAGTGGAATAATCTTATTAAATCAACCTCAATGCCAATAATTTGTTTGACCTACCTTAATGATTATTTTTAGTTATATGATATTCTCCCTTTGACATTCTTATATTAATTATGAGAAAAGAAAAATAGCATTTCAATTGTCATTTCCACTCTCAAAGACTACAAGCATTTCCACTAGTGTTATGAACCTAATTATTATGGCACTAAAGTGAAATAATCTTATTGAATCAACCTCTAAGATTTTATTGAATCAACCTCTATGTAAAAGATTTTATCAGGTTGCAACCTGAATTAAATATGCACTTAAAAAATTCATTGGAAAATATTGTTTTAATGTAGAAAAACCTTTTAATTGATCATCTCAACATTGAGATGTATAAATATGAAAAAAAATATATATTTTGAGTCCCAAAAATAAGGCATCTTGCTACACATTATCTAGACCAACCATTTTTTAGATTTTCATATGTTTATAGATCTACTTGATTTTAACCATTTTTGGAGTTTAATATTTTATAATTAGATATGAAGATAGATTTTTGGATAATCCTAATAATGTTTTACACTAAAATTATGAAAGTGTGCCTTAATTGGATTGTTTAAAGTTACAACCTTATAGAAACCTCACCCTTTATTTATTTCTTTTTACATGAGAGAATCTAGAAGTTCAGTTTCCAGTATGTTCAAAAAATAGTATTAAAAATCTGGTGGGGAGTGAGGTTTTAAATGGGGAAAATAAGAAGATTTGTTTCCCTTAGATATAATAGTTTAATGGGTGATATATAGGGTATAAGCAGTACATTGGTTGTTGTTTTTTCTTTTGGGTGAATATTTTAGTGAGGTACACCTAATAAAAATATGAAAAAAAGTAATCTACAAAATATAAGTTGATCAATATACATCTATAAATTTTCGGGGGTATTTTGCTCAATTTATATTTCGCGAATTACTTTTTTCAGATTGTTATTAGGTGCGTCTCACTAAGATGTACACACGCTTCAAATTTCAAGTACTTTGGATTTGTATAAAAAAAATGAATAATTGAATCACTATTTAGATGGTGATGAGGGTAGGCGAAACC